TTTTATAAAAAAACCACATTTTTTTATCTAGTCTCCAGTTGATGGGCATTTGGGCTGTTTCCAAGTTTTAGCTATGACAAACTGTGCTGCTATGAACATGGGCGCACATATATCACTGTGGTATGATTCTTTTAATTCTTTGGGGAAGATCCCCAGCAGTTCACCATATTTTTCAATCACACCTCGCAGTTACAGTAAAACACTATTAACATTTGTTGAGCTCTTTCTCTATAGTAGGTGCTATGCTAAACCTTTACATGGATGGTTTTACTAATCCTCACTAAACTCCAAAAGATTGTTTGCATTTTACAGGTGAGGAAACTGAAATTCTGAGATTTTTTTAGCTGAGAAGTTAAAAATAACTTTGCCTCCTCCAAAACAAAAAAAGGAGGAGGGAGAGAGGGAAGAGAGGAAGGAATGAGGGAGGGGAGGAGGGAAGGAAGGAAGGAAGGGAGATGCCCAAGATCACATACCTATTAAATTTGATACTTGCTTTGTTTTGTTTTGAGACAGGGTCTCACCATGCAGTTCAGGCTGGCCTTGAACTATGTAACCCAGCTGACCTCAAACTCATGGTGCTGCTCCTGCCTCAGCCTCCCCAGTGCTGGGATTACAGGGGTGCACCACCACACCAGCATTCTTTAAGACTCAGGGGCCTATGTCTTTGACACTTAACACTGCACTGCCTCTTACTAGGAGATACTTAAAAACTAAAACTACCCATGAAAGCACAGAAGCACAGCTGCCATGGCCGCCGGGGAGCATGCTGTCTCTGCTCCCCAAAGGTGCTCTCGAGGCAGTGCTCTTGGGCATGTTCAGTAATAGACTTTCGTGGTGGGTGGTATATTCCAGTTTCCCGATCCAAGAAGTAAGTGAAATGAGAAATATATTTTGAGAATGAATTCCATTTAAAAATTCTGTTTCCTTGATTGGTAAGTTAATTGAGGAATTTGGTTTTTTAGAACAGTTCATTGTTGGATAAAGGCGATATCATACTTATTCACGTTTGTGTTCAAAAGACAATGGATTTAAACATGTACTAAACTAAGCTCCCTTATGTTGGTGATGTGAAATATAAGAATGGGTTATGAAGTTATACCCAAAGAACTGATGTTCAAATACCTTTCTTTGGTATGTTGTGTGTTCCATCTTCAATTGGGGCTGTTCCTAAAGCTAAGAAGACACTTCCCAACTTGCCTGAGTTCCTGGAAAGTTCCTCCTCGTGTCCTAAGGTCTTCCCAGTCAGAGGTTCACCTCAAAGGAAGGAGTAATGCACTGCCCTCTGCTCCGCTGCAGACATTTACAGATGAAGAAATGATGATCAAGAGCACAGGTGAGTGAGTTTCTCACCTCTTGCCTTTTACTCTTCTGCTCATGACTTGGCTCTACAGTGTGAAATTACATATGTGACAGATTAGAAGATATGTCCTTCTGACTTTGTGAATGAAGTCTTTTTGACATAAAATTTCTTTGAGAAAACTAACACATGTCTAAATTCAGAATACAAAAACAGCAAAATAAAAAGCTAGCTGAAAGTTAAATCTCTCACTTCTTTCTCTCTCTCTCTTTCTTTCTTTCTTTTTTTTTTTTTGAAACAGAGTCTCACTGTGTGGTTCAGGCTGGCCTTGAACTCACTATGTAGCCCAGCTGGCCTCAAACTCGAAGCAGTCCTCCTGCCTCAGCCTCCCAAGTGCTAGGATTACAGGCACGCACCACCACATCTGGCCAAATCTCTCTTGCTTCTGTCCCTTGGTCCCCAGTTCTTGCCAAAAACTGCCTTGTGACTGTTTTTTTTCATACCCTTGGAGTAGGGTGTATGCTTCTGTCAGCCAGTTGTATAAAGGCTAGGGAAGCTGCTGAACATCCTTTAATATCCAGGGTGACTCCACAGCAGACTTACCTGCCCCAGATGTCAAGGTGGGCATGCTGTCAAGATAGAGAAACCTTGATCTGTGTGATAATGTAGCTGTTAATAGGCCTATGTTAGATGGTATCTGCTGGCATAGAAAGATCAAGAAGCTGGGCATGGTGGCACACACCAGCGCTTGGGAGGATGAAGCAGGAGGATTGCAAATTCAAGGCCTGCAAGAACCTGTCTCAAAAAGAGATCATCAATATATGTATAAGTTGAATGTGTATCTTGTGACTAAGGTAGAAAATTGTTAGATAGGTAGATAATGTATGTGCCTGTATACACAGAGATGGTTGACAGAAAAGTGTTCAAAAAGAATATATAATAAATTAGTTACCTTTGGAGAGAGGGACTAGAAAACAAGAATGTGGTTTCTGTATTTATATTTTTGTGCAAAAATTATGTTTAATATCAAGGATTATGAAAAGGAGATAGGGATTTATACTTTTCTGTATTAAAAGAAAACTTCATAAATTCTGTTTTAAAAGAATAAGTGCACCTGTAGGTATCTTACTAGTTAAAAAGTAAATTTGTCAGAAAACTATTAATGAACTATTATAATCTTTATTAAAATGACTGGTGCTGAAACACAGATGTATTGGTAATTCCTTTTCCTGCAGTTAAAAAATTTGCACAGGAACAAATTGCTCCTTTGGTTTCAAACATGGATGAAAATTCAAAAATGGAGAAATCGGTAATACAAGGATTATTTCAACAAGGGGTAAATATTTCATATTTCTTTCAACTTCAGACTTTTATTTTTTATTTATTTTTTTATTTTATTCCAGAGTTAAAATGTATGTGTACTTTTAAGTTTGTGGACTGTAATAAACATAATGAACTCTGTATTTTCTAGTAAAAAATATCTGTGCTCTCTTTTCATTGAGGTCCTGTAATATTTATATTAGTATTTATATACTTACTTAAAGATTTTTAATACTAGTTGAATGAACATTTTACATTGGAAATATGTTTTTTAAGGAAAAGGTTGGAAGTGGGAGAGTAATTTCTGTAGACCAGTGATTCTCAGCCAGGGGCAGTTTTACTCTCCAGGGTGCATGCTACTAGTGTCTAGTGGGACAGTGGCCAGGGATGCTATTAAGCCTCCTACCACACATTGGACAGCTGCCACAACAAATAATTGTCCAACTCAGTACAACATCATAGTGTAGTATACTGTCCCCTGGAATCCCTGTGTATGTGCTGTACTTAGAAGTAGAGGTGATACCTGAGTTCTAAATTCAACAGGACAACAGATCTCCAAATTTTCACATGGCCCCTTAGTGGACCCACAACATATAAAAGTACAGTAGACCTGCTTTGGCTGTGGGCAGGGAGAGGTTATCACATTGGGGGCTCCAAGGAGAACACTTTAAAAATTACCACATTCGCGCCTAAGTTCTCTCTTTTTCATAGATAGAAAAAATTTATTTCATTTTTCACTTTCAGTACTAAAGATGTTCCAGAACTAGCCACTGCTGTTCAGAGCCATTGATTATCCTAAATTGCCCCTGTTATTCTCTTTGAAATATAACCTTCACAACTTAGCCAAAAAGTTTTTTCCTGTTTTAAAGTGACCAATTTTTGGCAACTTTTCCAGCCTTCTATTGGCAGTGAAACTCTTGAGAAAACAGACTCTTATGTGGAGCCACATTGGGTCAAACAGAAGTCCAGTATGTAAGACTCTGTGAGTGGCTTTCTTAGCCAAGTTCTGCTACAGCCACTGGCAGACCCTCCAGGCCCCAGAGAATCCTAGTGTCACAGCTTGGAAATTACTCATTTGGTGGTAGTCTTCTTGGTCAGGACAGCATGCATCTACTACCCATCTCCATAAACTGTTCTTGTTAGCAAGGCCTCATCTGCCTTCTAATTTCTGTTGTCCCACTTTGGTGACCCGCAACATATTTCTAAGTCAGTAGTGACATTAGTGAGTTCTGTAGAGAAACGGAATCTCAGATGACTGCCAAAGATACTATAATCAGATAGCTGACATGCCCTCCAGTCTTCAGGCACACCTACGTTCCAGTTTTTTTCAGAGCAGCATTTATGGTTCTCTTAGCTTTCAGTCCTTTGTAGTTCTACCTTCATAGCAGCTGAGTGAGTCATCCTTCAGCCTGAAATGTAACAGTCACAACCCCAACTGCAGCATAGTGTGATTTCAGGAGATTCTATCATTGAAGGTGAACCTTTGAGAATCTTTCAATGATACAAACAGCCTGCTGCACCCACTTGCCATAGCTTCGCCACCACTGGTCTAGAGAATATAGGAATGTTATGTTTTATCTGTTACCAGCTGTGGGTCTTGAACCACATGTACACATCGTCCGTTTTTGAAATGAGGATACTTAAAAATGGAATAGTACTGGGCCAGGGATTTAGCTCAGTGGTTCCGCTGCCTGCCTCGGAAGCACAGGTCCCAGGTTTGATCCCGGTACCAAAAGAAAGGAATAGTACTAAAGAAGTGTCATCTCAGAGTAGAGACTGAACAGTCAGACTTGCTCAAGGTTGTTAGAAAGCCTTGGCCAACATTTGTCACTTTTTTAGCAGGCATTTGTACCTTGTCAAATGTGGTTCTAGCAAACACTACCAAATGTTGTCTGCTAACCATCCAAGACTTACTGAAGTGCCCCAAATGTAATGATCCTGTAGTCATTGTCCCAGTTGAAAAAAATCAAGGTGGAGGAGCCTAACTATAAGAGATTATGCCAAGTGAAACTATAGCCATTTCCCCCGAGGGCTAGTTAATTTCTTACTATGACATTTGAATCAGTCTAACAGGGGCTTTGGTGAAAGACCAAAACAACTCCTGTGGTTTTTAACAAAGCCGTTAGAGTATCTTTATATAAGATATGGTCACATTTCATTTAGCTACTCTTTAAAAGAGTACCTCTTTTACTTTATTTTTTGAGGTCCAAAAAGGAGACAAACAATAGTTCTGGTATGTAATTTTTCTTTTTTTTTTTTTCTTTTGAGACAGGGTCTTGCTAATTCTAGCCTGGCCTTGAATTCACTATGCAGCCCAGGCTGGCCTAAGACTTGTGGCAATCCTCCTGCCTCAGCCTCCTAAGTGCTGGGATTACAGGCATGCACCACCTCACCCAGTTCTGACATGTAGCTTTGTCCTTTTCAAATAGTTTCCATTATACTTATAGCAAAACAGCCACACCAAGTTAAATAAAATATATGTACAATATTTTAGTTAAGAACATACGTGGTTACAATTTTTGAGCTTGTTCTTGTAAGAAATTTCCCAGTATAAAAACAGCTTCCTTAATTTGTTCTTTGTGTTTCCTTTAGTTGATGGGTATTGAAGTTGATGCCAAGTATGGAGGAACAGGGGCTTCATTTCTTTCCTCCATCATAGTGATAGAGGAATTAGCCAAAGTCGATGCATCTGTGGCTCTACTCAGTGACCTTCAGAACACAATTGTTAACAAGCTGATTACAAAACATGGAACAGAAGAACAAAGGGCCACCTATTTGCCTAAGCTGATTACAGAAGATGTAAGTCAAAACTAGTTGTTGAAATGGATCTGGTCTTTTCTACATTTACGGTATTTTCAGGAAAAGAAGTAGCTGCAATGTTGACTTTTATTATTGAAGACCATAATGCAGCACCACCAATTAATCTATTAACTCTCAGTAAGAAAAATATACTCTAGGCTGGGAATTTAGCTCAGTGGCACTGCGCCTGCCTTGCAAGTGCAAGGCCCCAAGTTTGATCCCTGGTACCAGAAAAAAGAAAAAGAAAAACTTACTCTGCTTCTCATTTGCCACTTGGAAACTTAGAGAATAATCATCAGATGCTAAAATTATTTCTTTTTTTTTGTTCAAATTTTATTTTCCTAGTACCTTTGTTTCATTTACATTGAGATTGCCTACTACTATAATTATTAGAATTAAAGTTAAACATATATTCTTAAGTCCTTAAATTTGCCTTGGACAAATAGTAGGATGGTTTGGAAATAATACTGACAGAAAACTATTTTGATAGAGACTTTTTAAAACAGTAACTAAAGGTTTGATTTACAGATTTCCATTTTGGTGTAAGTATTTGTTATGCAGAGCATAAATACAGTGGTTAATTTTAATTTTCTTTTTCCTTACATGTGCAGCTGGGATGCTTTTGCCTTTCAGAGGCTGGAGCAGGTAGCGACTCTTTTTCTTTGAAGACCAGAGCTGATAAAAAGGGAAATTATTATGTCATCAATGGGTCAAAGATGTGGATTTCTGGTGCAGAGTATGCAGATCTCTTCGTGGTTTTTGCAAACGTTGACCTTCCTGCTGTAAGTTTAAAAACAAATTTCACTCCTTTCCCCATCATCTTTTCTCTTTTTCTTTTCCTCCTTCCATTTCTCTTTTAGGACTTAACCTTAATGTCTTTATTCTTCCAAATACTGGAAATGTAAGACTTGAACTGCCATCTTTTCACCTTATTAATTGCCTTATTGCTGACATAATACATGGGGGAACATTTATTACTTACCTTTTAATATGTTATGTACATAGCAAGCTAATCTTTAATTTTGTATAATTTCAATTTTTCTTTTTAATAATGAATTTAGTTTGTATATAATACATACATTTATTTATTTATTTTAGTACCAGGGATCGAACTTGGGACCTTGTGCCTTGCGAGGCAGGCGGTGGAACCACTGAGCTAAATCCCTGGCCCTAGTACATTTATTTATTTACTTATTTATTTTTGGTACTGGGGCTCGAACTCAGGTTCTTGCTCTTGCAGGCCAGGCAGCAGCACCGCTGAGCTAAATCCCCAGGCCTAGTACATTTATTTTTAAGCATATTTTATTCATTTGGACAATAGAAATATAGCAACATGATAAATATGTTTGATTTTTTGTCTTCTTACTTACATAATACTTAATTGAACTAAATTGCTAAAACTAAGATATTTAACAAAATTCATTTTAAAACAAAATTTTCATGCTCTACAATACCTTATTGTAGCAATAATTTTAATAATTGTGGTTTCAAAAACTGAAAAAAATGATGAGGTTCTTTAATTTGTATCTAATGCCCTCCAGTCATTCTTTTGTAAGGCACATATTGCAATTCAGAGTCCTTTAGTATTTATTGTTAAAGCCCATTTTTAATTTTCTTTTTACTTTGAAAACTGTATAAATAAGAGATTTTATAAAACCAAGTGGTAATGGTATTGTAAATTTTCTTTTTAGGGTTATAAGGGAATCACCTGCTTCTTAGTAGATCGTGATACAGAAGGCCTTCATGTAGGGAAATCAGAAAACAAATTGGGGATCAGAGCTTCTTCCACCTGCCCATTAACATTTGAAAATGTCAAGGTGGGTATTTCAGAATAATCAGTAAGACTGATGTGAAGTGAATTTCATATGGAACTAGAGAGCTATCAAAACTTTGTAAGTGATGATAAGCATATACAGCAGAGTATTTTGTGGAGCCCCTAAACAGTGCTCTTAGGTTCAGCCATGACCACGTGTACTTTCCATAACTGTTTAGGCCAGAGTGGAAACCTTCTGTCCAGCTGCTATCCTCAGGAGCAAATGATGAGACTTTGTCTCAGTTTTTTTTTTTTTTTTGAGACAGAGTCTCACTGTGTAGTTCAGGCTGGCCTTGAACTCATGGTGATTCTATAATCCGCAGCCTCCCAAGTGCTGGGATTATAGGCATGCACCACTGTTCCCAGCATATCTTAGTTATGTTTGTAACTTACATACTGGGGAACTATTTATACTTTTTAAATGTATTTGTGACCCAAGCACAGCTTCAGAGAAGAAAGTCTGGTGTTAGTACACCAAAGGCCACAAGATGGGGATGTTGCTCAGTGAGAGTGGAGAGCAACCAGGCAGGCTGTCACAAAACAAGACTGTCAGAAGGCTGAGACGGAAACAGGCTTGGGAGCTTCACAAGGGCAGCACACGTGTCATAGGTTTTCCACTGCTCGTAGTGGAGCTTGGTCTTCCTGCACATGTGTGCGTGTGATGGCTTTACAGATGGCATTTGGGGTCTCGTTACTTCCTCCCAACTGACCTCTTTTCTATTTTTCCTTTTCTTTTTCTATCCTGTCCTGCTCCCTCTCCTTCCTGCTCATATTATAAAGCTCGGTATCTTTTTTTATCATTCTTAGTCTCGATTTTTTTAATTATGAAGAAACATTTCAATCTGCTTCCTCTTCCTCTTTCCTCCTCTCTTGTATGCACATACACATACCCATGTATTCACATTATACACACCCCAATTGACTTTATGAGGATAAATCATTTCACCAGAAGAGAGGTTTACTACTCTTGCTTTTGCAAGTACTTCATGTTTTCTGTAGTTCTTAGTATGTTATCTTATACTGTTAGCATACAGATGAGAATTGGGGGAAATTTTTATGCATTTATATTGTTGAGTTCCCTTTTGCTAGATTCAGTCACTCGTTGAGCAGATTGTGCTAGGCTCTGGAGGATGCAATAGGGAACATGGCTTTGGTGAAACAGTATAGAAGAAGATGTCCACAGATGATTGCATTGGTATTTAATAAGTGTTATAAGCAAGTCATATCACAAAAATTGAGAGTACATATGCATTTAACTAATGTAATCAAAATGAGTCATGCCAAATTAAATTGAGAAATAAATTCACATTTGTATTTTCAGGTTCCAGAAGCAAATATCTTGGGACAAGTTGGACATGGCTATAAATATGCCATAGGAATTCTTAATGAAGGTAGAATAGGAATTGCTGCACAGGTAAGTCAAATTTTACCTCTTCTACAGTATGAGCCAATGAAAATGTAAAAAGAAAAGAAATGCAGTAAGACCAACAAGTATGTTGAAGCTTCTGAACACAAGATGGCACCCTTTTCTTACTAAGGTGAAAGAGTGGCTTCTGATTATTTCTTTCAGATTCCACTTTGGTCAATCATATAAGTATCTGGAGAACCAAACAATGGCTTAGTGATAACAGTTTTTCTGCTTTGAGAATATTAAAGTATTATCCAACACCTTCACCAATAACTTCTAAGATGTATTATAAATTAAATATCTAAATTTTTAAAAATCAGCCTTTCAAAACATGAAATTCATTCTGGAAAAAACTTCTAAAATTAGGAATAAATAATTATTCTACTGTATAAGGGTCTCTAGATAATTAAAGATTCATTGCTTAGAGTGAAAATTGAATAATTTTTTATGGCTCAGGAATAAAATAGTTCCAATTAAATAGGTTTGTAAGATGAAACTTCAATTTTTTCCCAAATTTGCCCTTTATAACACAGATTGGATTTTTCTATTAAATGATGTCTCATTTTATAGATTAATAAAATGAGTAAAGTTTTAGGTTTTATTATCATTTCTTTCACTTGTGTAGAATATTTTTAATCTGAAGTATCTAAAATTCAAGAACTTTTAGCTTTTAGATTTTGATATAAATTGTTATAAATTAGCTAGTAGAGCAGTTAAATGTTGAATTATCACTACAATTTTTTTCTGCTATTACTTTGTTAACAAATTATTCTTTTTTGGTGCTAAACATTGAACCTGCGGCCTCAAGCATGCTCAGCATGTGCTCTACCTCTGAGCTACAACCTCAGCCTACCAAACTTATTCTCAAATCAGAACTTAAGCTAGGTTTTCTGCAAAGCTAGATAGTAAGTTACTGAAGAGTATTGGCATATATGTACTTTTTAAAGTTTTTCTGTGATTTAACTTCATCATATATGGCATTAAAAACTACAGTACTGGACCTCATTGTTCCCAGACGTATAAATAATATAGATGTTCTGGCAGTAAAATACATGGCATGGGCTTTAGTCTAATTACTCCAGGTTATCTTATATCTAATTAAAAGTTAAGGTCAGGTAGTTATTATGTCTCAATGGATGCCTTTTAGAGGAAGAGGCACATATAACAGAGTGAACTAAAGTCATCCATCCTCAAAATGCTGTGGGTGGACAGAATTTGGTTCTTCAGTATGCATAATGGAAACATTTCACAGAGCTGGAAACACCTATTTTGATTGACAGCTGATAGTATCAGTTTTCATGTCAATATAGGCTATTATTTTTAATGTCCTTTAAATGTTAGTTATAGGAGTATAATGACATCATCTTACTTTTTTTTTTCTGGTACTGAGGACTGAACCTAGGACCTCTCATATGCTAGGCAAGTGCTTTGCCACAGAGCTACATCCCCTGCCCTTTTTTTTTTTGTTTTTGGTACCAGGGATCAAACTCAGGACCTTGTGCTTTCGAGGCAGGCACAGTGCCACTGAGCTAAATCCCCAGCCCTCCCCTGCCCTTTTTTATTTTGAACAGTCTCACTAAATTTCTCAGACTGGCCTCAAACTTGCAGTCCTCCATCAGATTCCTGAGTACCTGGGATTGCAGGCATGTGTCATCACACCCAGCACGAAATCTTCGCTTTCAGCCAGAAGAGCAGTGGGTTTAATTTGGGGTTTGTGGGGACTTTTAACATAATTGTCTGTTCTCCAGGGAATTCAAAATAAAAGCTTAAAAGAAAATGCGATTGAACAGTAATGAAATATTGATATGTTTGTGGGCATTTCCCCAAAAAGCTTTATTGATTTTTTTTCTTTTTCCAAAACCTACATAGTTTGACATAATTAGATAGTGATTTAATGGCTACCTAATGTTGAAATTTAGAAACCATTTCTAAGCTCAAATTGTTCAATAGATATGAAAATTGGTTAGTAATGAGATAGTTCAGCTAAAATTGCTACCACATACTGATTTGTTCTTCAGTCATGTAAATTAATGATTTTGCCAGATGCTTTTTATCAGTTGTTCTGAACCCCAGCTGTATATTTAATCACCAGAAGAGTTTTTAAAATGCTGATGCTTAGGTCACATTCAACACCCCCCCACCCCACTTCCAAGATTTGGATTCAGTTGTTATACACAGACATTATCCCTGGTGTCTTATTTACTTTTCTCGTTGCTGAGACAAAATACATGACACCCAAAGTTAAAGAAGGAAAAGTTTTTGTAGCTCACAGTTTGTAGAGGTTTCGTTTCATAGTTGCCTGGCTCCAAGGCACAGTGGCTGGAAGAGGAAAAACAGTTCATGCAGAAGCCAACAAGGCAGCAAGTAGCAAACTAGTGAAGCACCAAGTGACAACAGCAGCCCTCTTTCTGTCCCTTGTATTCTACCCAGGCTACCCACTCTTAGGGCAAGTAGCACTCATACCCAGGGTGGGGCACCTTTAATCGTAGCACTGCAACAGGAATCAATCCCAGCATCACCTTCTTAATCCCAGTATCACATCCTTTAGATCCAGCCTCCTCCAAAAGCCCCACCTATGACCACACAAAGCTTTGAGGGGACATCTAGACACAAGCCATATCACCTGGGCAGTGGTATTTTTTTTTTTTATCAAATTTCCCACATGAATCTTATTTGCATCTAAGGTAAGAAACCCTGCAGTCTTACATTCTAATGCCCATTCCATTGAAACTCTTGTTAGTCAGAAACAAAGTGGACAAGAACATAAAAAGTGAAGAAGTGACCTTCCAATTTGACTTCTAGGACTAGAGGGAGCACTCTACAGTCTTTGAGACCAGTTTTGAGCAAAGCTTCTGTGGCTTATTTTGTGTCTAGAGAATCAGAGCATTAAAGAAAAGATTCCTGAACAGTAGGCTGGTTGTGTGAATACAGCCATGCCAAGAGGTTTAGATCTGTGCTAGAATGAAATATACTCATGTTCATATGAAATCACTCCAGATTTTCTCCCAACTACTGCAGATTCTGTTTTCCAAATGCAGTCAATAAAGATGTGAAATTAACACACACCTCACCACCTCAGTAGCTTCAGTTCTTCCCCTGCCTTAATTATTCAGTTTCCCTAAAAAAGGAATTTACAACTTGAATAAGTAAAAGCATGAACTTTTAACAAAATGACAGATTCTAATCTATTTTTTAACAGATGCTGGGACTGGCCCAAGGATGTTTTGACTACACCATTCCATATATTAAAGAAAGGGAACAATTTGGCAAAAGAATATTTGATTTTCAGGTATGTAACTAGGCTCTTTCCACTGGACTGGACTGAAGAGGTGTGTTGAAAAGCTATGGAGAGAATCCCTTGAGGGATTTTAATGGGAGAGAGTCTTGGGAAGTATAATTATGAATGCCTTAATCTTTTTCAAAGGCAGAACTACAGCTCTTAAGGCCAGGCTGTGCCATGATTCAGGGTGTCTTGGTGGACACTGTAGAGCCATGTTCTCACTGTTTCATGACTGTAGTCCATGAGATCTAAAGTCACACTTCTTGGGTTCGAAGCCTAGTTCTTCCAGTGTAAGTTTTTTGTGTTTGTGTGGCACTGAGGATGGAACTCAGGACCTTGCACTTGTGAGGCAGGCGCGGCGCCACTGAGCTAAATCCCCAGCCCCTCCAGTTATAAGTTAAATAGTACTTTCTCTGAAATGCTTGGGACCAGAGTGTTTCTGATTTCAGAGTTTTTTGGATTTTGGAGTATTTGCATAGACATAATGAGGTGTCTGGTAATGGGATCAAAATCTAAATACGAAATTCATTGATGTTCCATATATACCATATCTAGCTATCCTAAAGGTAATTTTGTACAATATTTTAAATAATTTTCTGCATGAAGCAAAGTTTCATTGTGTGGAATTTTCCACTTGTGCCATCAAATTGACATTCAGAAAATTTTAGACTTTGGAGCATTTTGGATAAGGAATGCTCAACCTGTACTGCCTTTAGTCCTTGAACACTTCTTTATGCCTTAAATGCCTCATCTGTGAAATTATAGTATAGGTGATATGTTTCCCAGTTTTAAATTAGGTGTGTGTAAAGTGTTAGTACACTGGATGGGAATAGCAAGTGCTCAGTAAGTGGTAACACTTGTTATGAATCTCCTGTTCAGAGAAGATCCAAGTGGTAATCTTCAGAGGACATTTTGACACATGTACACTTTGCTGCAGCAGATACAGTTGAGATGCTCTCAGCAAAGCATTTTGGGAAATACTGGTCTTATCCACTGAGTGGCTTTTTAGAGCTCCCTAGACAATCAAAGATTTCTTGGTAGCAAGGGTATTCTTGTCTACTTGAGATTTTTCCAGGGTGGGGGCAGCCTGGAGTAGTAGCTTACCAAGACTTCTAGGCAACATGAAACATGTTACCTGAAATTCCAGAATAATTACTTTTCATGGTTGCAAAACCACCCTTTAAATATCTCCAGATTCAAAGTACAGTTTCTTATACTAGCAGTTCTGTGGTACTATACTGTCTTCAGGTTTATAATGACCAGACATCATATGAGAATACTCAGATTACACTTATATAGAGATATGAGGCTGTGGACATGCACAGTCAGTCTGAGATCTAGAAGGACTGAGGATGCCCGTATTGGCCACTGCCTGGCAGAGGTCGTGCCGTGATTCCCATCTTGTACACAGGATAAAGCCACATGGATGGTGGGTTTCCAAGGCCATGTAGCTGGTAGAGTATGTGCCAACATTACAGGGTTTTGTGTTGGTTTCTGGTCTAATTTTTATTTCATTTTACTTGTGTATTATCTCAGAGCCGCCTTCCACATAGATTGTAGTGAGAGGGACAGAGGTGAGTCGGGTCTGAGGAGGCTTTTGGTTTTCTTTGTACTCAAGAAACTACATATATATTAGGAATGCTAATAGGTATAGTCACAACATTTCTGGAGATGCCTAGTCTGTTTGTTTTGAGTTTTTGAGACAAGATTTTGCTGTGTAGTTCAAGTTGGCTGTGAACTTGCTATGTAGTCCAGGCTGTCCTCAAAGTCACGGCAATCTTCCTGCCTCAGCCTCCAGAGTGTTGGGATTACAGTTGTGTGCCGCCATGCTCAACAACTCTGGGTAATTTGGGGGCGGGGGTAATTTTTTTAAAAGGCAGAAATTTGATGTTAAAAAGCAACATGAGGCTGGGGCTTTAGCTCAGTGTGTCTGCCGCCTGCCTCACAAGCTTGAGGTCCCGAGTTTGATCCCCGGTACCAAAAAGCAGCATCATTAACTATATAAAGCTTTAACTGAAGTTAGTACTGAGTTTCTCTGCGTACTTCATCTCAGCAGAGTGATATATTTTTGGCTTTACATATATTATTTTCTGGGCTGGGGATTTAGCTCAGTGGTTCCACCCCCTGCCTCATATATTCTTTTCTTTCTCACCTCTAAACAGTAAGGTCTTTAAGAATAGGGACCAAGTCTGTTCATTCTTATTTCTTACAGTTTATTCAGCATATATTTGTTGAACATGTTCTCCATGTCAGGCCTTGTATTCACAATGTAGTTAGGGAACCAGTATTGAGCAGTAGTGAGTTCCTGCAGGGCAGGAGACGTGCCACAGCTGCTTTTCTGCCTTTCATGGTCCCTTACTTGGTTGTTGGAATAGACAACAATGATGGTGTCTGGAGGTTTAATGAAACTAAATGTATTTTTCAAAAATAATCAGGATCTCTGAATTCCACATTAAAAAACTATCTGAAATTTCTAGAATGGTGATATTAGCATAGAAATAGGCAGATTGACTGATAGAACAAAACAGGTCAGAAATCGACTCACACATGTATGCAAATTGATAAAGGCTAGCATTATAAATCTAAATAGGAATATTCTTTCCATGTGGAAAAAAAATGAAACCATATCCCTACCTCACACCACATATAGAAAATTGATTTCAGATACATTAAAAAGTAAACTTTAAAGATTTTATGAGAATATCTTTATGACTTCATGTTTGGAAAAGATTTCATAAACCAGACACAAAAAAAACTAATTATGAAAACTAATCAAAATTGGTGAATTTGACTATCAAATTTCTTTTTCTCAAAAGATGCCATAAAGTAAAAATATAAATCGTAAAGAAGAAAATATCTACTCAACATAGTAGCATTGTGGACATTCAGTTTATTTTTATACCCTACATATATGTAAGTCTTATTTTATAAATATCAAATATCACAAAAAGGAAAAGAATATTAGGATATTTGCAAACAGAAAGGATAAACTATTTTTTTCTTCAGCTTATCCCTCCATTTTGGTTAAGAAAGATCATTCTAGGGCCAGGGATTTAGCTCAGTGGTTTTGCCGCCTGCTGCACAAGCGCAAGGACCCAAGTTCGATCCCTGGTACCAAAAAAAAGAAAGATCATTCTAGGATTATTGAGTAATTGTCTTAATCAGACTTCTCTGTGTTAACATTCATCACATAGTTATGTTTATTTAATTGTCTGTTCTTCCTGCTAGACTTTGTAAATCATGAAAACAGAGAATTCGACTATAATACTCAGTATAATACCTCCATTGCTCAGCACAGTGCCTGGTGTAGAGAAGGTGCTCAGTAAACATCTGGGTGAATGGATAGGCTAGACATGAGAAAATGTAACGACCCATAATAATCATCTTTACCTATATTTCCAAGAAATTGTTTCTAACTGTAATCTATATTTTGACTGACCAAGTCACTTGTTTTTCTTGATATTTAACGGCATCCAACACTTTGTAAACTTTCAGGATGTAGCAGGGTTTTTTTAGGGTGGTTTAAAAATTATTCTTCTGTTTTCTGTAAGCACAAAGGAACTGGTACCTATTATTGGATATTGCAGTAGAGTCTCTCTAATAAAGTTAGTTGAAGCAAAAAAGTTGGTGCTTCAAATATTCCTTCATTCCTTTGCAGCTAACAACTTTTAATGCCTTGAGCCCATAGGAAAATTCAAAATTTTCTCAACTCAAGAAAGAATATATTCAAAGTTTTAATATTGTAGGCTTTGGTTCATGCTTAATTTTGATCATAAAGAGAGTTGAAAATAAATGTTAAAACAGTCAAGTTTTAAAACCTGACTTTGTAACAATTACAAGGAATTAAGTGAACTTGGAAATTTTTCTAAGAAAAAAGGACTTCATGATACTTGTGTTTTATTTCATTTTAGGTTGCAGATTTTAAAGTTTTTAAAGGAAATGAACATGTCTGTTAGTGTTCTGTGTCTTGACAGAACTCAAAGATAAGCTGTGTTTTAGAAATCATAATTCTGCAACTTGTGCCTGCATGTTACAGGGGCTCCAACACCAAATGGCTTATGTGGCCACCCAGCTGGAAGCTACAAGATTACTGACATACAATGCTGCCAGGCTTGTAGAAGCTGGGAGGCCATTCATAAAAGAAGCAGCCATGGCCAAATATTACGCGTCAGAGGTAAAAAAAAAAAGTTTTCATTTACTTTCAAATGTGTTAATGATTTTCTCACTTCAGAGTATTGATTTAACCTAGGTTTTTCTTCCAAGCAAGATAACAAAGACTTTTCAGTTCTTATAGTAGAAAAATGAAAAAAATAAAGCTACAATAAGAGAAAGTTTTAATTTTATGGGGTCTTAGTGTTCCCATGAGTAGCCCAGTTTGGCAGCCACCCCTCACAAGTCCATGGAGAAGTTCTCTGAGTGATGGCATCAGGTTCAACATTTCAAAATGGGGCAGAGAGAATGCCATAGAAGATGATGTGCTTGTAATAGAAGCAAGTGAGACTAAAACACCAAGAAAAGATTGTCTGTATTTTTACTGCTTTCTGCTTATACATATGCGTACTATTTAACATGTTAGACTTTGGCTGGAGAATTTAGCCAAGTCGTGGGCAACTGTTTCCTAACTGTAACATTATGTCTGATTCATTTCAAGGCTTTAAATACTCACTGAACCTCTCCAGTCCCCAAATTTGATCTCTGCCTCAAGCGCCATTGTGAGTTCCTACTGAATTATCCACCCTTCATTTGACCTGTTCTCCCAGGGCACCAGTCAGAAACCTGAGTCATCTTGACACCTTCCTTTCATTCCCCCACACCAGCCATCATCAGTTCCTATGAATTCTACCTGCAAAAGATTTCTTGAATTGATAAACGTTTTTCTCTCACCCCATCTCATCCATCCAGGGTGTGTCATTTCTTCACCAAACTATTTGCAGTCACCTAACTACTCTTGTGGTTCCTTTTGCTCACTCCAACCCAGTCTGTCTTTTCAAAATGTGCACGAGGTCGTGTCACTCTAGCTTTAAGTGGCTTCTCACAACAAATATTTTTGTATTAGTTTCCTATCACCACTATTACAAATTACCAAAAATCTAGTAGCCTAAAACCATGCAGTTTTATGATACCCCACTTCTAGAGGTCAAAAGTGTGAAATGAGCCTCACTAGGATAGGATCAAATTAAAGTGTCGGAAGGGCCATCTTTCTGAAGGCTCTAAGGGAGAACCCCATTCCAGCTTCTACAGGCTTCTCACATTTGTTGAGTTGCAGCCTCCTCCTCCATTTTCACAGCCAATCACATAGCAGGCTCAGATCTCTCTGTGGCTCTACTTCCTGCTACTATGGTCGTTACCTTCTGTGACTTTTTACTCCTTCTGTCTCTTTTAAGCACCCTTGTGATTACATTGGATCCTCCCAGATTATCCAGGATAAAGTCCTTATCTCAAGGTCCTTAATGTAATCACAGCTACAAAGTCTCTTTGGCCATGTGAGATACTGTATTCAGTTTCTGTGGACATCCTTAATTAGGCTGTGGACATCACTAAGGGTCCTTTACCAATAGTCAGACTGCTGGCCATTCTCTAAGGCTGACCTGCCCCTCTTCTCGTTTTGAAACTCACCATGATCCTAGCCCACTGGCCCTCTCGGTCCCTAACACTGATGACTCCCTTTATCCCTTTGAGCCTTTGCATGTGCCATTTCTCAGCTTGAAGTGCCTCTAACTCATCCTTTAGGTCTCAAACCAAGTTGTTCCTCAAGTATCTCACCATTTAAAACATATTAGGTTTTTTTTTACCCTGTCCAGGATATGCATTTCTATGCTTCTAGATTTAATGTCTTTCTCTAATGACCACCAATACCAAAGAGGCAGTGACTGTCCACCCCCGTCATTGTATACCCACAGGATTGCAGAGTATTTGGCATGAGAGCAATGTCAATTAATATTTACCAATAAATGATACTTGCTGGCAAGTATGTGAGTATCAACAATATGCTGCTTTTCTGGGCTGTGTATGTAGCTCAATAGCAGAGCACTTGGTTAGCATGTACAAGGCTCCAAGTTAAACCTTTACAAAGAAAATGATTTTAAGGAAATAATTTCGTAAATTCATAGGACATTTTACAGAAATGGCTAGAGAATAGGACTAAACAGACAATGCTGGTTTCTAAAATAACTTTAGTCCTTCTAATCACCAGTCACAGTGAAATCATATTACTAAAAGTATCACACAAAAGTATTATAATATATAAGTTAAGTGATTTCAGTGTGCAATTTGCTGCTTTTTTTTTTTTTTTTGGTAGATGGCAGGGCTCACAACTAGTAAATGTATTGACTGGATGGGAGGAGTAGGCTATATCAAAGATTACCCTGTAGAAAAATACTTCCGAGATGCAAAGATTGGTAAGTAGATTTCTTTTACATTTTATTTGGTTTGGTTTGCCATTGAAGGTGTTTGGGCTATTGTATTTGTCGATTCTGTATTACTGGTACCAAGGCAAAGGTGATCTTAATTTCTTCGGTTTATGTTTATTGGCTCTCTCGTGGCTGAATTTTTTCCCCTACCCCTTCCTACCCAAAAAAATGGATTTATATTTTTAAAACATCAAATTGCTTTTTAAAATACCTCAACAGACCTTTTAATAAAACTGCAATAAAATTTACTATCTTAATTTTTCTTTTACTAAAATAGCTAATATTTGTGATCAGTGTAGTTCAATGCCATTCTTTGAAGTATTGTTCTAATTTCAGAAGCTAAGTGCCTAATCAAGCCTGAGCAGCTAGCTCAGTGCTCCACCACCAGAAAGGAAAATAAACACAACACCTCCAAAAGCTGCCCGTTCTTTAATAACAACCTGAGTGTATCCATTGATAGTTTAGGAACCAGAATCTTCAGTTGTTCACAGCTGACTCTGAACATCCACACAACTAATGGAAAACTGTCATCTCTTAGTCAAAATTACTTTGTCCCATAGTTCCATATCCCAGCGTCATTAAATGATGTTACTACTAACAGTTTTATAGCAAATGCAGAGGTAATATTTATAGTGTTTATTTCTCATATGACTCTTAACTGTGGGTCCACTCCTAACTATTTATTTTGCTCCTTTTCATTTTAGGTACAATATATGAAGGAGCTAGCAATATCCAGCTGAACACCATTGCAAAGCACATTGATGCAGAATACTGACATCCATAAAATTGGGCCCCACCCTCGTATCACTGGTATAACATTTTAAAACTGTTGTGCCTTGTTGGAGGAGTAAGGCTCCATAGCACTGCAAGGTTCTATTGAGGCCCCTAGTTATGATCCTCTGGCTTTGCCCTTTCTCTTTCCTCTTTCCAGTTTGCTTATGTTAGGCACAAAAAATCATTTCTAAAATTTGGGAGACGTGCACCTCTATTTTCCCTAAAACTGTTTTTAAACTTCTGTACATATTTATATTATCATCCAGGTTCAGAATATATAGAAATTTCATTCCATCAACATTTGGAAAAATGAAGACATTTGAAGTATTGCAGAAATAGTTATTTTATACTCATTCTAAATCTTTATATTGTGGTACTAGTCAGAGCGACATTTGTTACAGTAGTCAGTTTTTATTAAATACTTTATAGATTCAACTATAAGTTGCTAAATGAAGTAGAAACTGATAAAAATTTATTTGAAAAATCTAAAACTTCTAGTTGTGAATATCAGAATGGATGGGGAATAAGAGTGTAACTTTGTAGTTCATATAATTGAAAAAAAGACATTATTTTAACCAAGTAAAACAATATAATTTGTTGGTATAATTGACCTGTAAAAGATTTAATTTCATGAAGGTTTCATCAGGTCATTTTTAAAAACATGTCCCTGCATTAGTTTTAAACTATAAAGTTGGAATAGTTTGGTTTAATAATCAGAAAGTGTTCAATATTGTAATATTATTCCATACTATTTTTCACTAGTAAAATTTCTTTCGGTATTTTAGTTGAATACTCTTCCCTCAGACTTCATTCTTGCGCTTTATCCTGAGTAGTAATTAATTCAGAAACTGAGTTCTAGTTCAGCGATTCTCAAGAGAGTGATATCTTGCCTCCATAAAGAAGTATATCAAAGTCTCATGAGGAATGAGGGATACAAGGGCAGTGTAGAGTTTGAAAAAGTTTATTCAATATTAAAATAATTTTATATTTGGGAAGACAAATATAAATCTCTTGTTTTGTAATACAAATGGTAAATAAGCATAGCCCAACAAATACACAGTAGTGATGCCATTTCTTCAGTATTAGGATTTCTCAGTGAGGAGAAAAAAAAAACTGGTACAGAACCTGCATCCTCAAAGGAGAGAGGTGGACAACAGATGAGAGTTTTCTGCATAAAGGGTGGGTTAGACATGAAAATGTTACAAGGAGCATGCACTTGCTAAAAATCATAATTACTATTAAATAGGAAGCATTTTAGTACTTTAATGAAAGAATGTTTATTACGAAAACCTTACATTTCAGAGTAATTTTGATTTGCACATTCGTGTTTATTGAATTAGATTAATTTCTACAATGCAAATCATAGTTAAATATTCAAAGTTGTATAAATTTAGTTGAGTTAGGAATTATGTTAAAATATTAAGAAGAAATAAGGACAAATTTAGACCTTGGATTCAAAGAGATAAAATCCACTTGATTTTCAGATAGATGAGAACCCCTTTTTCAATTTTTCAAAACTAAAAGACAGAGTAATCTGACTTTAAAAAGTAAGAAATAGGGCCGGGGATTTAGCTCAGTGGTTCCGCCACCTGCCTTGCAAGCGGAAGGATCTGAGTTTGATCCCCGGTACCAAAAAAAAAAAAAAAACAAATAGATAAAGTACCTTAAAAGGGGGCTCAGACATCTTTGGTTTCTGTGATTATGTAAAAGAGGTGGACTTTATGGATTATGAAGTAGGAGTCTGCCTTAGTAAGCAGAATCCCAGCTTCTTCCATGATAAACCTCTTGTTCATATTTGCAATAGAGAGCCTCCCATATACATGTGGACCTTCCTTGAATATATATGTAGTTTAGACAGATTTCTAACTGTGTATGTTCACAAAGAACAGTCAAAATTAATAAGTATATTCCTGTAATCCCAGCATTTTGAGGGCTTGAGGCAAGAGGCACAAGTTCAAGCTCAGCCTGGGCAATTTAGTGAATTAGCAAGACCCTGTCTCAAAAAATAAAAAAGACTGGGGATGTAACTCAGACAGAGGCCCTGGGTTCAATCCCCAGTGCTGAAAAAAATTTAAATTATATATTATAGTTTATATATTCACCTGGTTTCTTCTGTTAGTGAATCTTCATATTATTTTACCAAGGAAAGGTTTCCCTGCAATTCTGCATTGTAGCTCTTCTTACAACTATGACTTTGGGGTTTTTAAAACTTTCTACCTTGAGTTTATGTATTGTGGAGAACCAGCGATTCTTCTCCTGAAGCCTATTGTTACAGTTTGTTAATTTGAGGATTTGGCTGTCTTGGGGCTCAGAAGGTAGAGAATTGTTTTTATCAAATTTATATGGGTGGAATTGATTTCATCCCAACTGCCAAGTTAATGTTGTTAGAGTTTTCATTTTATAACATGGAAACAAATTGGCATCAGTGACTTTAAAATCATGGAAAGTTAAATCTAGAGAGACCTTCTAGAACTATCCAGCCATTTCCCTCATTTGAAAGTAAGTAAAGGATTCATGGTGTAGGTTATTTTCCCATGTGGTCCTCTCTCCAGGGTCAAATACAAGAGTTCAGATATACTCTGTTCAACAGATTTGGAGTTCTTCCTTGCTTGGTCATTGTTCATTTATTTGAGTTTTAACTGATAAAGAATGAACATTTCAGAAGTGTTATGATTGATGAGTGTCATCACATATATTAATCACTTGCCAAAGGCACTGCATTGGCATTTGTCAAGCTCTCTTAGGCTGTTTCTGAGATGTCAAATGCAAAGATTATTATATGTGATTGTTTGGCTTCATTGTTGTGCTATATAATTAGTTACATTCCTGCTGGTCTATTTTTGTTGATGTTTCATAAAGTGAAAGTTTTGTTTTAATAGCATATATCACATTGTATTCATTTTTATGAAATCAGTATTTATAGCTATAGAAAATGAAAATATAAAGCACTAAATTAACTGGAGATTGTTACTCTAATAAAGCAAAATTGTTTGTTACACATACGGATGAAGTCAGAAATAATGTAATCTTCCTGCATAACAGACACACCTTTGTTTACCACACCAATAGCTTGCCTCTTGTGTAAGCCAATTTTTTTCATTTTCAGAGAAGAGGTTTTATAATGCAGACCAAGTTTAAATTTGCCACACTAAAGAAAATTTTGACAGAGTACTCTTCACCCCTCCCCATGGCAAAATAAGCAGCTCTTGAGTAGGGAGGTCACCTCTTCTGAGCATATCCTCATAGCACAGATATTATCTAGCTGAACTTTGTGTCTATACTTTATAGTATTACTTTTGGAAATTTAAAATTATTGTACTTTTTAACTCAGTGATAACAGATTATCTATTCCACATTATTTCTCTAGATACCAATCCTTTTTAAAAAAATTTTGTCATTCAGCAACATGTTCGAGTAGTTGCTATGGCCAAGGTACTGTGGAGTCTGACCTACCTTTGCAAAGATGAATAACAATAGCTTCTTATTTAAATGTTACCAAGTGCGGTGGTTTTTTTCCTTCTGTTTTCATCAGTGTATCTTCACAAAAAAAATGAGTTGAAAACTACCAAGTTCAACCTTACGCAGAGAATTTCTTTGGATCTATTAGAATAATGGCAAATGCTAACATCTCTGGAGCTTTACCACCTGCCAGCCATTTTTCTTACAACCGTTGAGGTTGTGCTCTTGTGTCCCATTTTACAAGCAAGAATACCAGGGCATAGAAAAGTGAAGTAAGATGCTTCTTGGTACAGGGCAGAAATGGAATCCAGCTTGGCTGATGAAGGCCTTTCCACTTTCATTCCTTTGAGTCTGTAAGGCTTGTCCATCTTAAAGAGTCTTCCAGGAAAATGCCACTACCAACTAGGCATTTATAAGCTAGTTACTCTTCATGGATGAATTTCAGATCTTTTCAAGCAGAGACATTAGCTGAGAACAGGGTCTAGAAGAAAAATAGGTGTGGTGCGAGCATATGCATTTTGGGAGAATGGGGGTAAAGCTGGGATGTAGCTGAGGTAGTAAGTGCTTGTTTGACCTGCACAAGGCCTTGGGTTCCATCCCCAGTACCACAAAAACAGAGAGGTGATAGGAAGATGGAGTTAGAGGGATGAGAAAAGTACTGAAAAGGGAACTAAGAAATCTCAAGGTACCATTGTTCCAAAAATCTCAGAAAGAAATACACGGAGATACAGAATTTGGGTAAAATAATAAAATTTCTACTTGCAAGCTGGCGGGACCACCAGAAACCGGTCTGGTTAATATTGGAGCGTCCCTTTGTTCAGCATTTCCCTTTTTATATCCTTTTTACCCATTATCTCATCCCTAGTGGTCTTTGATGTGTAAATACAATTCCAGTTCCTATTTACAAGTCCCAGGCACAAGATAGGCACATATACATTGTAAATTCACCCAGCCATTGCAACTTTGTTAGGTTAATGAAGTTACTGGTTAAAGGGTCAGATAACCCATCACCTTAAACAACAAGAGTTATGGGAAAAGCAAATCTTAAAGGAACACATTACTTACTTTGCTTCTACAGCTACCTTAATATTCAATGTACTAAGTTATCTAAAACTTTTCCCTGTCACCATTTTACCACTGTATACCATATGCAATATTTGACTTTTGATTTGGAAAAAAAAGGTTTTTTTTTTTTTGTACCGGCAGATCGAACTCGGGACTTTGCACTTGCAAGGCAGGCAGCGGAACCACTGAGCTAAATCCCCAGCCCTGGAAAAACAAAGTTTAATAAAATAATAACTGAAAGCTACCCTGGGGTGTGAAGAATGACAAGAAATTATAACAAAAATCTGAGTGGAAAAAAAAGTCTGAATGGTGGCTACAGAGTCTGAATTGCAGTTATTTGTACAGAAAGCTCACAATATGAAGAAAAAACTAACTTTGCAATTTTTTAAAAGAAGTCATGCCAAGTAGACAAAAATGGGGTAAATAGTCACACGTAGTATTTGAAAGTACAGATGAGTTAAACCTACCTACTTAAAAATGTTCAAATGAAGCAAAAGAAACACTTAAATGCTAGTTATTACATTTAGAATAGAAACACCTAAAGCAAGACAATTCAGGAAAGTTCAAATAAAGAGATGGAAAAAGGCCATCTTTATGAATGCTGCAAAAACAAAAGTAGGAATAGTTATGTTAATATCTAACACAACTGAATTAAAGGCAAAAATAATTTTAAAAGATATCATAAAAAGGGAAGAATTCACCAAGTCCAGTAGTCATGAACTTTATGTTCCTAACAATATAACTGAGAACTATATAGAGCAAAACAAATAGAAGTACAATTTTAAAAAATTGACAAAGTCATAATCATAGGTACTGACTTAGAACTCATGAAATAGGAAAAGGTAAGAACAGATATAAAGGATTTGGATAGTTTAATTAACAGGGTTGCTATATGGAAAGGGAATTCTTGTTTCTTTTTTATTGTAAATGAATAGTCATTAGAAATTTGTCTCAAAGGAAATCTACAAATTCCAAGATGACAAAATTTTATGGATGGCATTCACCTTGTACAATAAGTAAATAAACAAAAAAATAGAATTTTCAAAAGCTAATCATGACTTTAACTTGGATTAATTAGAAAATCAAAGTAGAAATTAACAAATTATCAGTCAGGTTATGACCAGGCCAGCTGTCCCATTCAGTGCTGCTAGGAGGATGTACCAAGAATGCATGTCAGGGCCATCTGGGGCCATAGGTACTGTAGTGTACATTGGGCACTACTTATCCAAAATGCTTGGGCCCAGAAGTACTTAAGATTTAAGATATTTTTGGATTTTTGAATATTCTCACACATGTGATGATATCTTGGGGATGGAACCAAGTCTAAACGTAAAATTCAATTATTTCACTTACATGTGAAAGGTAATTCAACCTTTGTGAAAGTATATGTGAAAAGTAAATTTCAAATATGAAATTTTCTACTTGTGGCATCATATTGGTGCTCAAAAAGTTTCAAATTTTTAAGCATTTTGGATTTTCAGATTAGTGCCATTCAACACTTATAGTGAAAAATGAGAAATGACTAAGTAAAATAAATAAAGCATGGAAACATCCTATGCAATTCTTTCATCAGTTTAAGAAAAAATAAGATTGATCCATGTATGGAGATAAAAAAATCACGAGCAATTCATATTGCTTAAGAAAATAAGGAACCATATACTATTTGTGCAGAACCATACAAAGCTATTTTTATTTCTGTATACACACAGGTACTACATATAAAACCTTAGAGTTTAGAAAATAGTCACAGGAAGGAAAAACTATGAGAAAAGAAAAAAAAAATGGAAATGAAATCTATGTAAATAGGGAAGGGTGGAGGGGGTGAAGGGCGCACAGATAATGGGGAAAAAAATAAGAACCAAGATACATCATGTACAGGTACAAGCACCCAATGATAAATGTAAACGAATTGTATACCTAAAATTACCAATAAAAGAACTGAAAAACAGAAAAAGAAAAGGAAAATAGAGTCATAACACTGATAACTGCACAATTTTGGAGTCCCTACCTAAAACTGGGGGTCATTGGCATCATTTATACTACATTTTTTTGAGTTTTCTTTTATTCATACACAGTTACATTACAAAATGATTACATTCTTTGTGGGGAGTTGGTGCATGTACGTAACACATCTCAATTCTCTTTTTATTCCCTTTCTCTCCCCCTCCCTTTCCACTTTATAAAGAAAATATAGTCTTACATAATTGGAAATGAACACAAAGCTACCCACACTGTTACTGAAATCTTTCGCTTTTGTATGTCATTTTCCCTCTTAACTGTTCTTTCTGTTTCACAGCCAAGTAGGCAGCTCCATTCACCTTTAAGAGACTTGACTCTGGTACAGGAGAATGGAAAAGGGATCTGAAGTCTAATTTCTACAAGGCTTGACCCATGTAGGTAAATGGCTCCGTCCAGGTTTAGCTCTCTGTCCTTGGAAAAGCAGTATGTCTTGCTTTGCAGAGCAGGGTTTCCCAGGGATGGTTTCTTGCTTTCCGCAGACAGCATCTGCATTGGGCCTGGACTTAAGAGTCTTGGCTTTGATTTTTATGTGATTTGGCCTGAGGTATTTAAATGTAAACATTTCCTTGAACCTGAAGCATTTGTCTCAAGGAAAAAATAAACTTCAAAAGTTCTACTCTAGTCAAAAGAGCCAGGCCCGTACCTTAAATTGGATGTCTGAAATTTGGGGGAAGGGGGTCAGATCCAACCCACTATCTGTCTTTGTTAAATGATATTTAAATACATACACTTTTCTTCTTCCTAAGCCTCCTTGCTTCCATGACAAAGGACCTCCTCTTTCTGACTGACTTCCTGGTTTCTTTTCCCACAAATGGCAATATTTATCATGACTCTCCCTTTGTGGGTCTTCTGTTATCCATACAGTGGTTCTCAGTCCTCACTATGACCTAGAATGGCTTTGTGAATCTTGGAAGTCTAAACTGAAATAACATTTCCAGAGTTTCCTAATCATTGGGAATAGATCTGTCCTGACAGGATGCCTAGCACACTTTGAAAATATATTATCTAAAGTGTAGGAGAAGAATTGGGATAGGTTGAGGAGTCCCACAGGGTTACTGATGGCATAAAGGCCTCAGAAAAAATGGAATAGCTATCTTCTACTGGGCCTCCCCAAGTGACTTAGGGTGCTCATAAAAAGTCTCATTTCTAGGGCTGGGGATTTAGCTCAGTGGTTCCGCTGCCTGCCTCGAAAGCACAAGGTTTGGAGTTCGATCCTCGGTACCAAAAAAACAAGTCTCATTTCTGAACAGCAAGTCCTAAATATGTGCTTGCCATGGTTGGGCCTTCGGCCTGGCCTGGAAATCTATCTGTTTACAAGTCCCCCAGGGATACACTAAAGCTTGAGACGGGTGCTCAAAATGACTCCAGCCCCAAAGTCTATGTCCTTTCAACTTCTCCCCCAGTCCTCAGTCCAGCAAGTCCAACTCAGTAAGCCTCAGAGTTCCCTAAAGCCTCACCC